GCGCCCTGTCGGGGGGTGGGGCAGGGAGGGGCGATCAGCTGGCCGGCTCACCGAGCTGGAGAAAGGGGGGAAGAGAGAGAGAGAGAGAGAGAGAGAGGGGGGGGAGCATATGTAATGGGAGAGACGAGACTCCAATGGTGACGTGAAAACTCTCGATACTTCTCCATACCGTCACACCTTCCTCCCGTACCGTCTCCGACCAACCCCTCGTGCACCCTCTCTACACAGGTACAACCATGGCAAGTGCAGCCACGTCGTTACCTTGGCTGAGCAAGATAGAGATAGAGATATATTCTAGAGATATTCTTTAGAGATAGAGATATATTTAGAGATAGGCTCAGCCAATAAAAAATCATTCTCAATTTCAAATGGTACTAGGTGTGGTGTTTGAAGATATTCTGTATTCTGAGATGAATATGTAATCATGTTTGGTGTTACAATGAGAACAATACAACAAGAAGAAAGTAACTTTAGGTGCACTGTAAAGAACGAGTGAACTCTCTACCACAAAAGTAATTTTGTGCTTTCTTCTCCCTTGTTTTTAACTGTATGGACCCCTATTGCTGCCTTTGCTGACCCCCATTGATTTTGTTTAAATATTTTATTTCGACTATATACTGCGTCATCCACCAAAGCGCGACCGACATGGACTTCTGCTTGACCCGCTCCAGAACACCACGGGTCACATGTGGCCTCACGGCTAGTCAAGTCAAGCAGAGCTCCCGACGACGGGCGGGTAGGCAACCAGGTGGGCACCCTCGTCCCGCTGCGGCCTACCTCCCACCTGGCAGGCGCGCGCTCCACCCCACCCACTCCAGTTCCAAACAGCCAGCACACTGTCACACATTTTTAACAGTTAACAAAACTGTTCAAAACTTAAAATTATGAACGCAGTTTTAAACTCTATACTTCAAACTCTACTTTTTCCCCATGTTTTGGCTGTATTTCACGTTTGTGTTGTTCAGTGCATATCCCTATCACGACCATTACTATTCCATGGAATAGTATCGATGATGCGCGTAAACGCTCCACACAGATCGCGGCACGCTGCACACAGGCTGACCCGGTACCCGCTAGTTGTGACAGATGAGCCCCTCCTCCCCCCCCCCTCCATTGGCATTAATGCCCCGACCACATGTGTCATGTGTCGTCGCGCATGTGCCCCTTGCCCCCCGGGGCCCCCGCAGAACCAACGGCCGCACTAGGGATTTTTTCCGGAAAAAATGCGAAACTTTTCCAGGAAAAACCTGGTAGAAATTTTTAATACAGTATTTCCAGAAAAATTGGAATAAAAAAGAAAACTTCCCAGGAAAAAAAGAAATAAAGAGCAAAATTCTTGAAAAAAACAACAAAAAATACTCTTTGGAAAATTGAAATCCCCACGTCATACCTTCAGAGAGCCCTTGCTCGGCAGCCAGACACGTCGTACCTGAACATTGCACTACTAGAGTTGCGGACGACGTGAACCCATGTCAGCAGGTGCACGCCAGCGGTCTGTGGTCTTGGTGCCGTGTGGCTGCGCTTAATGCAAAAGTGTTGGACTCGTGAGGGTTGCCGTTGCCGTGCCGTGGCGCACATGTCTCTGGACACGCCCCCTCCCTCCCCCTCCCTCTCCCCGTCCGCCCGATGCATGCGACGATGCTCGGAAAAGGCAATAAACCGGTCAGTGTCTCCTTTCCTATTCGTCTCTCTCTCTCTCTCTCTCTCTCTCTCTCTCTCTCTGACACACGCGCACGGGATCGGATTTGGACCGTTTATCTGTAAAGCAGTTTTGGCTGGCCCGGACACGACGCGACGTCGAAAACACGTCAACACAAAATAAACTCTTCATAGTCCGAACGGCGCACAAAACGAAGGAGTGACGTGACACCATCAGAGTATTACTTTAAACAATGACGGAGGTAAAAGGTGAACTCATTTTGTGTGTGAGTGACAGTAGCCTTCGTGCTCGTACTCGATCCGAGGTGGGCAGGTGGGCGATGAGGGGTACCGTGCGATCGTGCGGCGCGGAGCGGAGTTGGTGCAGATTTGGTAACAGGGCCGAGTAAGGCAGTGGGTAAGAGAGGTCCGGTGTCGGCGGCGGGGTGAAGGGGAGTGGAGGGGGGGGGGAGGGGGCCCGATAACCCCATGGGCCTGGTGGTGGCCCGCCAGGCCTCGGCGGAAGTTGGGCCGCACGCGCTCACGCGCTAGGAGGCGGGCGGGGCGCCGGCGCGCAGCCTAGCGCGCAGCCCAGCGCGCAGCGCGGCCACTATAGCTTCACAAGCAAGTAGTCTCTTCGCAAAAACTGATATCCGATGCCGATGTGCATTATGCGACCTAGCTAGAGAGAAACGAACTAAGATTTCATCAAGTAATATCAGGGTTTACCCCTACCCTATCACTAAAAACAAATTTAAATCAATAAAGTATCTGTAAATATTTTCCAAAAAATCTCGTACAACGAAGAAAGAAACAAGTACAACGTATATCGTCCGTTTCCGACGGTGAGGCCAGAAATGAAATCAGCCGATTGCCGACGCAGCTCATCAGCCTTCTAATGGCAATTGGCAGCTAATTGAAGTCACTTGAGACTGTCGCAGGCGGTCGCCGGCGACAAGTTCCGCCTCGTCCGCCGCCAACCGCGTGTGGAGCACTGACTCGGGTTCGAGCACCGGCGGCATCAGGGTTAGGCACTTTTTTTTTAAAAAATGTCCATTCCGAGAGGCGGGACAAAGAGGGGGGGGGGGAACAATTTGCCACCACGACTTGAAAGATCGAAATTCTATGGACATTGTGTAGTTATGACGCGGGGACGTAGCACCAATGACACACATTGATGTCGCCAAACAGCGCTCGGCGGACTGTCCACGCCAGCTGGTCTTTCCATCGCGCCCTGTCGGGGGGTGGGGCAGGGAGGGGCGATCAGCTGGCCGGCTCACCGAGCTGGAGAAAGGGGGGAAGAGAGAGAGAGAGAGAGAGAG